AACTGTTTGCTCTCGTGCCATGCGATGCATGTGTACTCCGTATCCTGGGTTGCCTCGTGGCTGATCATAGTTATAGGATATTAACGTACTGTAGTAAACATCAGGTACAGTCTATTTTATGCTTTTTATGGTGTGTGTTTGTGTGTGTGTGTGTGTGTGTGTGTGTGTGTGTGTGTGTGTGTATGTGAATCAAATGTTGGAAATGTGAGATAATTAACTGATCAAAAGCTATTCTTTCACCATTTAAAAGGGAACTCTAATGTTGTGTATGTATGTATCTTCCTCTCTCTCCATATCTCTTTCATATCGGTTTATAATTTGAGCTGACCTCCCGAATATGATTGTCCTGTGTCTGCTCTTTGAGTGTTCACATTTAACTCTACTATGCAGGTGTGTCCTTGAGGAAGAAGCACAAAATGGAAATGCACTGGCTTTATAAGCATGGACCGTATGAGATTACAGAAGCTTACACAATCATTTGTTCTTGCAAAATTCTCCTTTCGCCTGTTGTGCTGATGTAATCATTCAATGACTTTACATTTGCAATGTAAAAGTCATTCATTGAAAGGGGACAATACACAGACTGCTTTACCTTTAGATGGACTTAATGCAATCTACACATTAGGCAACGCTGCTACATGATCATTCATGAATGTCTGTACACTGCAGTATTTGCACAGGGCTTCTTATCTTATTCTTATGACCCGAGTTTTTGGAAAGCAAGCTGAATTCTGTCCATGTGAATTATGTCATATCGCAAAATATCTGATGTTCCAACCTGCTTTTGTTTTGTGTTTTCTTTGACTGATTTATCAAGCCATTTAAAGCTGATTACTTTGTTGATTTGGAAGTTAATGCATAACACAAACTGTATAATCCTCTTAAAAGTTAGCGTAAGTGCATGCATAATGCTGCCATTGTTATATTAAACTAATGTTACTAATATACAGGCTCAGCAGAATCAGAGAGCTTAATTGTCCATAGAGCAGTATTTGCTGCCTTGGGTTTTGTTTTTTTGTTTTTTTTTCCTGGGCAAAGGTTTGTATTAATTTTGTTTCACGCTGAAGTTCAAAATAAATCAAATTCAACTATTGATATCTGTCTTTGCTACCATTCATTATTAAATTTGAGATGACGCACCACACAGAATACTGATGAACTTGTTCACTCTTAACTATCCTTCATAATCAGATATGGCTTATGTTCTTACTCATGAGCCTTGTTAGTGGAAGTTTAAGGCTTGAGGTAAGTGAGCTTCAAATGTGCCTTAATTGTTTAAAAGCAGGGGAAAAGGAGTTTTCTTTGCAGATGGAAATGCAATTTAAATCCATAAAAAGAATGTTGGCCAGGCCTCCACCCTTTTTATTTTATTTTATTTTTAATTTTTTCATGAATGTATATTGTTTATTGACAATTTTTGTTTTGTTTTTTGGGTACACACAGATTAATGTATCGTCTCCTATTTTAGTTTTATGCTGTTTTAATGTTATTGGGTAGTTTTTGGTCCGCTGTGTACATTTGAGTCACCTGTAGGTTCGGTTTAAAAGTTTGGGGTCTGTATTTGATGATTTTGAAAAACGTTGTTGAGAATGAGAAGTCTCTTATGTTCATTTATTCGATCAAAAATGCAGTAATATTGTGAAATATTGCATCCTTTCTTAATAAAAGTATTATATTTTTCAAAATAAATAATCATAATCTTACTGACCCCAAACTTAATTTTTTAAAACCAAGTCCATGCTTCATTTTCTGTTACATGGAATTGGAAAATTAGGAAATCTTCCTTTCTCTCCTTTTCTTGTCTTTCACACCCTCACACATTTCATTGTTGTTGTTTTTTACATCCCCAGTTTTCTCTAGTGAGTGTTTTACCCTTTTTAATTTTCTCGGTTTGCTAATTTCTTTCCCTTTCTTGTTTTCTCCCTGTCGTAGAGCGGAGGTGACCTGGACGACCCCTGGTAGCCCAAGCAGCCAACGGCATCTGAACCACATGAGAATGTCCTCAGTTCACAAAAGAAAACCCTTGCTCACACACTTTTTTTGGTTTCAATTCGGAGAGCGTCATAGGAAATGTTAAAGGACGAGTCTGGGAATACATACGCTTGTTTTTTTAAAGATGATTTTTTTTTTTTTAGAACTGCATTGTATGGTAGAGAGATTTATTTTTACTCCCCCACCCCCTTCCTCCTGAAATCTGTGTCCATTACACAGAAGTTGCTGGATGCTAATTTGGAGGCATGAACTCTGAACACAGCTGGAAGAGGGCAGGGCCAGCGAGCTCTCAGAGGGACAGGGACCCTCGTTCAGACGCGGCTCTCTTTGAACCCCTTCACACCACGCATGTGCAGCTTTTTGGAGGCATAATCTCAGTTCTTGTTCACCGTTTCTGCCACCCTCTTCTTTAACCCTGCGACTCTTAACAGGCTCTATCCCATCAGCTGGACAGCAGCCACAGAAATGTAATGTATATGTTGTGGATTTTTCTTGTTCTCCTTTGGGGCAGAGGCAACTTTCTTCTAGTGTCATTCATTTTGGTGCTTGCTGTTAAACAAGAAAATTAAAAAAGAAAAAAAAAATCCTAGGACACTGTTGAGACTCAATCTTGACAGCAGGTGATTATTGCAAACCCGCTATGAATTTGGAGGAGCTTGTCACGGTGACTTCCTCACAGTCGCCTCAAGAGACAGTACATAAAAACTGAACTCCTTCTCTTTTTCGCAGCGCTCTTCGTTCCCTGCTCTCCCCATCAGCTTGCCTTCTGGTTTGTGGTTTTCTCTAACAAAATAGTCAAATGTCAAATAGTTTCCCCCTCTATCATTTTGACACTGCATTTTTAACTTTTTTTTAAATTACAGATTATATGGCGTAATTGGTATTGTTTGATTGCACTCACATTTGATTATAAAAATAAAAAAAAATACAAAAAAAAACTATATGAAAGAGAAGCTATGAGAAGGTAGAGTATTTCTAAAGTGAAATTGCAGAAATATGTATGTGTATATAGCTATATATATTTTTTCTCCTTTAACAGTGGAGTGAAAGAGTGGGAGGGGACGCTCTCTCCTCAGACTGGCTGATAGGTACTTGAATATTCATTATTAGTGGTTCTGTTTTTTTGTTTTTTTTGGTAATCCTTAATGTAGGATTGTTTTTGAACCGTGCCTGTAAAAGGTGAACCATGCTGTAAGGGGGTGTACTTACAGGACAGTTAGCTATGAATGAATGTACCCCTTATTCACACTGATACACAATACATATACCTTCACACACCCATTTGTACATGCTCATGCGTAACACTTTCATATGTGCATTTATTGTTTGATTAGCTTCATCGTATACATTCACGTTCCTACTCCATGTACTTCACATGTGAGTTTTTTCCTGCGCTGTGCGATAATCGGACACAGACATGCTCTGGAGGCCTTCTTTACTTCCTCCTTTTTTTGTTTTTGCTTGTTTATTCATCGACTTCACCTGCTCTGGTGTGTAGCTTTAAAATTAGTGTTTAATTGAATTTTATTAGATGATTGTTTATGTATGTATATATATTTTTGCAGTTTTTCCCTCTTCTGGTACACATAACTTGTAGCCATATGCTGGAAAGCTTCATTTTAGGATGAATAGATTGAGTCCGTTTTCAGTCGAGATGGTAAAGAGATATATTTTGTGCGGTGAGTGCTCAAGGACATTAATTTGCGTTGTGTATATCAACAATTATTGATGCGTAGAATAATTGAGACAAAGTATTTTATTTATTCCAAGTGTGTTGGCTTAAGAAAAGAGGGTTTCGCCAGAGGGGGGAACTACTGTTCCGTGTGTTTTGAAGAGTGTGATCGAATTCTCTTGCTCTCATGTCCTTCCTCTCTTTCTCTGATTCTCTCTAACCACCTGACGAGCCCGTGTAATGAACGTCCCCAGTATGATGTTGTGATGTTTCAATAGCAAACAGTGAATATGATCTGTTCTCCTCAATAAAGGATTGCTAAAATTTGATGTTAACACAATGACTTGCTTGTGTTTGAAATGAAGGGTTCACATCTTGAATCATTCTGAAATTACTGTTTGTTTTGTTTTGAGGAGACTTCTTGTCCAACTTATGTTTTAACGCATAAGCTAGTTTCTGTGAAAGTGTGATACTTCCAATTAATTTGCAGCTGTAGAATACAACAGTGCCCTTCCGTTTTCAGAAGTACTTTTCCCATTCATTTTTGTCGCGGTATACTTGTCACGATTCTTTGACTGGAGGCAATTTCTTTGCAGAATCATGGGTAATGTAGTCTTTTCACCAGGATTTCCACTGCCAAACACCAAGTCAAAATAAAGCCAGCTGATGGCTTCACCAAAGCATATACCAGGGTTCCTCAAATCTTGCCCTGGAGGGCCAATGCGCTGCAGAGTTTAGCTCCAACCCTGATCAAAGTCACCTACCTGTGATTTTCTAAGGATCCTGAAGACATTGATTAGCATGCTCAGGTGTGTTTGATTAGGGTTAGAGCTAATCTCTGCAGGAAAGTGGATCTTGTGGGCCAGATTTGAGGATCCCTGGCATATACCTTTAGGTAACCTCTATAGCAGGGGTGCCCAACCCTGGTCCTGGAGATCTACCTTCCTGCAGAATTTGGCTCCAACCCTGATCAAACACACCTGAACCAACTAATTAGGGTCTGAAGGAGCACTTGATAATTACAGACAGGTGTGTTTGATCAGGGTTGGAACTGAACTCTGCAGGAAGGTAGCTCTCCGGGACCAGGGTTGGGCACCCCTGCTCTATACAGTGTCTGTCCACTTTGTCAAAGGCCTTCAGAGTATTTTTCCAATGGGGAAAAACCATGAAATCAGTCAAGCCAACCAGCTGAGATAAATCACACTACAAGCTTTAATTTGAAGCAAAAGTATTTGAAAAATTGACAAAAAGACACACACACGTGTATATACACACACTCACTCAAACATTTAAGTAGTTCACGAACAGGATCGTAGGTAAATTATTTATTTTTTACTTGGAATTCTTCTGTTGAATAGTAATTTAAAAATGTTAAAGCAGCACTATGTAACTTTTTCTGTGTTCAAAATTTGTCAAATGTATATAATGAACGAGTACATCATGAATTAATCTTCCAAACCGCGTTCTTGTCTTATTCCGAATCACTACGGTACACTTACAGGTGCATCTCAATAAATTAGAATGTCGTGGAAAAGTTCATTTATCTCAGTAATTCAACTCAAATTGTGAAACTCGTGTATTAAATAAATTCAATGCACACAGACTGAAGTAGTTTAAGTCTTTGGTTCTTTTAATTGGGATGATTTTGGCTCACATTTAACAAAAACCCACCAGTTCACTATCTCAACAAATTAGAATATGGTGACATGCCAATCAGCTAATCGCTCTTTGTACCTCATTTGCTGCTGAGAGGAGTGGATTATCACTAGATCACCGCGGAGGCCGGCCCAACAAATCCACACACACTTTACTTCACCTCAATCGTGTGTTTGGAGTTGCTAAAGCCAGGTGTATTTCACTTTTTTGGCATCTTGAAGTCACATACTTTTGCTTAGCCAGTCGAAATCTGGTGATCAACAGTTTCATTGCGTCTGATTTGTCCACCAACCTGTTAGTCATTTGACTCTGCGTCCTGCGGCCAGCCGAAGGAGAAGAACCACAAGGTCAGAGAGATAAAAATAGTTTTGATTCAGATCAACCGAAGCGTTTAATTCTGGAGGTGCCCTCGGGCCACTTCCGTGAATGCTCTTAATCCACTTCTATAATGCACATTGCCCAATTGTGTATGTGCATTATCTGGACGCAGTGTGCGCTCCTTTGGGCGGTCATTGTGAAACACAATGCTGAGTGTCTCCTGTGAGCCGTATGAATTTAGACGATGACAGCCGAGCGTGGAGACAAGGCTGTATATCTTATTTATGGGGTGGAGGGAAAGGTAGCAGCAGGACATGGGTGTTGTATTGAGAGACTGTGATGAGGAGGCAGAGGGAATGAGTGTGAGCCGCTTCCGCCAGGTTAAGCTACAGATGCCACAGAATGGATGAGCAGGGATGGTTGTAGCACTTTTTTTTTTCATTGTTGCAACTGTTGTGTTTTTGTGCTGTTTACCTCAGTCTTTGCATCTTCAAATTTTGTTTCCACTGCTCAACCTTCATTTGAATTCATTATTTTAAGAAAAAGGTTTATATTTTAAATAAATGCTGTTCTGTTTAAATTTCTGTTCATCAAAGAATCCTGGAAAAAAGTGTATGTATGTGTGTGTGTGTGTGTATATATATATAATTATTATTATTATTTTTTTTATAATGATTTCTGAAGGATCATGTGACATTTAAGACTGGCGTAATGATGCTGAAATTTCAGCATTGCATCACAGAAATAAATTATATATTAAAATAGAAAACAGTTATTTTAAATTGCAATAATATTTCCCAATATTACTGTTTTTATGTATTTTTGAATACAGAAAAATATTAAATATTTTACTGTTCAATATTTTGGGGTCAGTAAGATTTTTTTATTATTATTTTATTCAGCAAGGATGCATTCAATTGATCAAAAGTGACAGTAAAGACTTTTACAAATGTCTCTTTCAAGTAAATGCTGTTCTTCTGAACTTTCTATTCTTTGATGAATTCTGAAAAAAAGGTATCACAAAAATATTAAGGCACAACTGTTTTCAACATTGATAAAAATAAATACAGAGGGATTTATGAAGGATCATGTGACACTGAAGACTGGCGTAATGCTTGCTGAAAATTCAACTCAGAATAAATTATTAAAACAGAAAACAGTTATTTGAAATTGTAATAATATTTAACAATATTACTGTTTTACTGCATTTTTGATCAAATAAATGCAGCCTTGGTGAGCATAAGAGACTTCCAAGACTCACTGACGCAAACTTGGTAGTGGTACATCAAATTAAATGAAACTTGTCAAATTTGACGAGAATTGGTTGATACAGATGTTACTGCCAAATAACATTTAATAACATAATCACAAATGAAACTATAATTTTATCAAAAGTGTTTCGACCTCAATCTTTTGGCTTTTATAGTTGTACACGGAAACGTCAAGAGAATGGTGGCCATGTATAACAGGAATCCTTTTACCTCATATATTATTATTATTATTATTATTGTTGTTATTTATTTATTTTGAGTGGTTGAAGTTGACAGTCTTTCAACAATCTCTGTTCTCCCTTACTTTTAGACCAGCAAGACAGGTATTCGTTGCATACACTGCAGCGTCTACAAACAATGAGGCCCTCACACATTAGTTTCAGTTTTGAAATGAGTAACATAACTGTAATCTAATCCTATGAGAACAGTAGTACTGCAACATCACTTTCGGTCTCTGTCTGGCCGTTCCTCAGTTTACACAATTGGATTGGCCACAGCAAGCAGTGTTAATTGCACTTACCAATAGCCTGTGGGCGTCACAGGGATTATCGACCTGGATCATATTAGCGAAGCTTCCCAATGATCGGAACATTTCCTGATCTGTGGCTCTGAGTGCTTTATCCTGCTTTACTGTTCAGTGTGTGGAATGTTTTAATCCAATAACAGACACAGAAGTGCAGGCCGCAGTGCTGCCTCACCGTGTGCCACCAGCGGGTGGCAGCAGTCTCCACTGTTTGCATGGGGGTCCTCTGGTGGTCTTTGAGAACCTGACAGCTCCTGTCTGTAAGGGTCTTGTAAACATGCAACATTCACAGCTTCTAATTCAGGCTTTTAGCTGCGAACTCATTTGCAGATGCCTCAAAGCAAAAGCAATCTGGTCAGAGGAAAGTTTACTTTAAGACTGAGGCACAAAACATACTTACTGAATCACCAAGGGTTTGTCACCATGTGCTCATTCCAAACCTGCATGGCGTACTCTCTTTTGCAGAACACTTTCTTTTTGCACATATTTTGAAGAATGTTTCAACTTATACAATAAGTCAATGAGGTCCAAAACAACATTGCTCTTCCTTGACTTCTATTATATGGAAAGAAAAAGAAAAAAAAAACTTTTTATATATATATATTTAAAAAAATTTTTTTTACAATTTTATCACAAATTTTTGTTTATTTAAAATAATTTACCCTTATGTGCTGCTCATACTGTAGTACTTAAAGTAAGTCATACTGGTTTGGAATGATATTAGGGTGGGTAAATGTTTTTTTTAATTGATTTAAAAAAAAAAATTGCGTGGGGGGGGTGAGTTTCTGTTTTTTTATATATATATATATATATACACACACACCCCTCCAAAAGTATTGGAACAGTGAGGCCAATTCTTTCATTTTTGCTGTAGACTGAAAACATTTGGGTTTGTCAACAAAAGATGAATATGAGACAAGAGATCAACATTTCAGCTTTTATTTCCAGATATTCACATCTGGATCTGATAAAACAACTTAGAAGATAGCACATTTTGTTTGAACCCACTTTTGTTTCAATACTTTTGGAGGGGAGTGTATATTGTATATACTAATCTTTCACATTTTTTCATGTTACCTGATGTTTCTTTCTATTTATTTATGAAATTGACTGGCAATTTCTGAGACACTTCCAGTGTACTGAGGTGGACTAGTGAATAACCAGATGACTGATGGATAATCATTAATGCATATGAAAGTAATACCTAAAGCCCTTTACTCTCAAACCTGTTCACACAGCACTCAAGAGGGGATTTATAACTGCAGCATCCTCTCGCAGTCCCCCATCACCATTCCACCTGTTACCTTTCTCTCTCTTCCATGGACATAAACGCTTCTCTCTCTCGCTTTAATC